AGTCTAAGAATAGGAAGAAAATTAAGCATGGAAATTTTCAAAGAAGAAAGAATTCTGTGACCCCCACCCAATGAAACAACAACAACAAAAACGCACAAACAAAAACAAAAAACTCAAACCCCAAACAACAGCAAAATTCAAAATAAAAGAGCTCCAAGGAATGAGTGGCAAGCAAGTGGCCCCTAATGTTCTGGAAGCCTGGTTCATTTACTTGCTGAGAATGGACTTGGTGATTGTGAGGGTAACAATGTTGCCTTCCACTTAGTCTTTGTGACAAAATAGAATGAGAACTGGAGGGGTAAGTCTAAACCAGGTTAAGGACTCATTTATTCCTCAGAGTGTGCTAGCTCCTGTTATGGGTGAAAGACCCTCTGCTCTAAGTGGAAAAGTTTCAATGTTAATCATAGCAAATGCATGCTAAGTTCCAGCAGGTAAAATTGTTCAACGAAAAGTTTTACAGTTTTAGGAAACTTTAGAGGTACAAAGAAAAGTAACTATTTCTTGATATGAAGAAGGAATCCTCCCTACTCCTCTCCCTGTCTGGTAATCTTGAAAAGATTATTTTAAAATTAAGGAAAAGATTATCGGTGTTTTTGTTTTCCCTACATTATGAGAAAGTGCTTTCACCTGAAAGCTTCCTCTTTGCACAGCACAGAGAGTTTTGCAATCTGGGTTGCTTGTGACTGGAATCAACTGCCTGTGTGGCGACTTGCTGCAGTGTGAAAATTAGAATCAGGCCAAGTCTAATGAATGGGTTCATAGGACACAGAGACAATGGCTACTCTTGTTCCTTTCTCTGCTACCAACTCTGAGTAGGAAAAAAAAGGGGGTTCTGGAAACACAACAGAAGTATCCTTTACTGCCACCTCTTAGACATCACAGAATAGGTGTTTTTATGTGTTTGAAGAGAGAGCGATAAGGGGATGATAGACTGTGATTTTTTTTTTTTTTTTTTTAGTTTCCTTTTGGTAAAGGACTTAGTTCTAGTAAGAACTGTTAGAGTTAGTGTTTGCAAAATTAATTGAAATGGTAAAGAGTTGAAATGCTTTTTAATATACATGAACACTGGCTTTATCACAGTGCCAGATATTTTGGTACAGTGGCTTACTACTAAGTGTGTCATGAGTACAGTCTATGTTCAGAAATACAGATGCTTTATGAAGCTTCTTCAAGGTGGAATACAATCCAAAGTTTTCCACCAAACTCCTTCAACATCCTTCTTAAACAGAACCAGGTCTGCCAAACTGACACACTGTTTCAAAACAATAAAAATGATTTTTAAATAATTTGTTAGAATTATTCAATTAAGTATGTTTCTCAAACTACAAAAAAGTCTTATCTTCCTAAGCTTTGTATATTTCTTGGTTGCAGTATAAACTGTAAATTAAAAGATTATAAAATAATCAAGTACACCAAATCATGGCAATGTTTGAAATAACACAATGGTTAGTAACTTTATTGGTAGTGTTTCTTTGATATTTGTAATTCTGTATTCATTATTAACATGAAAATTTAAGAGCTTATACTCCTCTTTAGATTCACAGAAATCAATAGAATTTACTTAAAATTTCAAGTACTTCTATATAGAAATCTCAGCATTGTATATATTAAGCACACTTGCTACTTTTATGCTTTTCTACTAAGAATAGTTTTTCTTCAGTAGAAATCAGAATACATGTCTTTGTAAAAATAGTGTAATTTTTTAAGACAAGATATCATTATGTGCCTTAGGGTGACCTCAAATTTGCAATCCTCCTGCCTCAGCATCTTTAGTATTGGGATTACAGTTGTGTGCCAACACACAGGGCTACAAGCTGTCTTTTGTAGTGGTTAGTGCTCACAACAATACCTGCTCTAAGTACAATATTTAGTATATAGCAATGATTAATTATCTGTACTTTCATAGCTTGTGATAATGACATACCTTGCATCTTAGCATATTACTTTTACATTTTTTTTTTTGTTGCAAAATTACCTTAGTTGATAGGAGGAACTTTCTTTCAGAGCACTGCTTAAATATAAAGGTATTATCTATGGAGTAAAGGAAGGCTGATTGTCAGTTATATATCCTGATATTAATTAACTTGCTATGTGCCATTTAATAATAATAAAAAAGCAACAGGAGTCTTTTGCAAACAATGTTTGCCTTTTATACAGCTGTCTGTGTATCTCTGACAGTCGAGTGAAGAACAGTGCAGACCAGATCCATATCATGGAGGCCAGTAGATTGAGGCACAATCAAGCTGCTGTCAAGAACAGCCTGGAGTCCTGCATCCACCAACTCAAATATAAACGCTCAAAAGCTGTGTAACTTGGGTAGTTATTGAATCCATTTGGGCTTCAGTTTTATTGCCTTATCTATATAAGCAGGGTTGTTGCAAGTTTAAGTGAATATATGCACATATATAAACATACTTAATATATATGTATATATACATATATATTATATCCACTTAAGGCATAGTATGTAAGAATGTGTTCTTAATTTGATATCTGTATAATACATATACACAAACACTTTAGAGAAGTTTTATCAGAGAGCAAATGCACTTAAATATTAACTACTGTACTGCCTTAGCATTTCTTCTGCCTCTTAACTACTAATAATAACAAAGTTAAATGATTTTATGGTTCTCTTATCCTGAAGGGTCAAAGATCACAGTAAAATGCCTCCTTTAAGAAGTGGGCCAAACACAAAACGAGAAGCCCTAAGACAATATTCTGAGTTACCAGCCAGGCTAATCCCTTCCGGTATACACAGCTAGCACTTTGTAGAATTAACAGGTGAACTGTTTTGTTGTTATTATTATTATTATTTTAGGAATGATGGACTATTATGTGCCAGGGACAGGACTGATGAGAGTTACACTACTGGTGCTATCATCTATTACTGAAACAGTGGTCTTAAAGAAACAAGCAAGCAAGCAAGCAAACAAACAAATGAGTACAGTTTCACAGAATCAAAAACAGTCCCTTTCCAGCTCTATTAGGACAGAGATTTGTCTGTTGGCTCATTACCATGTATACACAGTTCTGGGAAGTGGCTAATAATTATTGGAGGCTGGGTAACTATTTCTTGAATAAGTCTAGAGAGTGAATACCTTACTCTATCCCCTGTTGAGTATAGTATTAAAAGGAGAATAAAATGGCGTGTGTTCCTAAATTGGAGACTTTGGAGCTGGAGAAGGCTAGGCTCCTCGGTGGCTCTACTAGCAGTGTATGCTGGAGGTGAGTGGGGACAATTTGCTAAGCATTTCAGAAGCCGTAGAGCTACTGGACATTCACAGGGATGTGGGTGTGTGGTGGTGCCACACTTTAACTCAGAGTCCATGCATGTGTCACAGTTGCATTACAAGTACCTTGTCCTGTGTCTTTCTAACTTTCCTGTCTTTGATTACATATTTTCCCCTCAAGCACAGTCTGGAAGCCTTTCAGCTGTTATAGAGTGTTATCAAGAACTTAAGAGAAACCTTTGGAAAACATAGAGCTTACTTCTAAGCTTTGAGTGATGAGAATAATTAGTTTACCCTCATCTATTTTACAGGTGGAGTTTACTATATGACATTATTTATAATTTAGCTCACAACCTAATGATGGCCTAATATAGTGCTACTAGGTATGTCAGACATCGTCTAAAAACACATTCTTTTCTATTCTCCTAGCAATTTTTTTTGAAACAGAAAACATCCCCTTTTTTTACAGCACAGGCAATTGGACCATTCAAACTCATTGATACGCATTCTAAGTTTTCCTAATTGTCTTTGTACTGAAAGCTGAGATGTTATTAGTCATCCTTGGCCGAACCACACTCCATTCTATTCTCTCTTCTAAATACAATAAGACAGCAAACACCCTCAGAGTACATTATTAATCAATTAGATATAATTTCTTAGAATGGCTTCCATCATCTCATTTAACTTTGGAGCTTTTAGACATTAATTAATCATAAGCTGTCAAAAAGCTATCATGCATTTATGAGGTGTATTATCACATAAGGCCTGCCCCGCATTCTGGGCCTGAAAGGGAAAAACGGAGGGAAATGTGAGAGAATTATGGTGAAAATACATCAACAGAGAAAACAATTAGGCCTAATGTAATAAGAGGGAGAAATCAGATTCGTTTTATTCCAAGGTACTGTTTCTATTTTTGAAGCTCTATGTAGAAAAAAAGTTCCTTAGAGTTAGAACACCACTGAGGGTGATATAAATTCACTTGGCCCTGGGACATATTGGGTAAACATCTAAGTTATTGCACAGTTACAAAAGTTTAGGTAACACATATTCTGATTAACGTTAACACAAGGGGTGTTTAAGGCTAGCCAACATCGGAAAGCAATCATTTCCAAGATGGTGACCAAATGTCTTAAGACCGTGTCACCTGCTGGAGTTGACAAAAAAGCTTCTCATGTCAAAATGTGTTCATGGGACATTTTCACACTTGTCAGCTTTCTCTCACTTGTATACAAACTAGACAGAGGCACTTTTAAGAGCTGTGGACTGGGGTTTCTGATGTACATAAGGGACATGGAGTTTTAGCTGCCGTTGGTAAGCATGGCAAGAAAGTAAAATGAAATAGCATTCAAAAGAAAGCAAACAGCTCATTAAAACAGGAACTTGTAACAAAAATCATTGTTCTCAGATCTGAAAACTTCCATAGAAGAACAGAAAAGTAAGTAGTTCTTGCTCTTTGAGGTTGAGTGAGTATTACCGGTTTCTGATGTTAAGGTACAGTGGTTTAGCGGGTTGACCTCGAAAAGGTTTAAACTATTGACGAGTTAAGTATTTTGAATTAGTTTTGAGTAACATTTCAAAGCATTGAACTTTACACACAGATTCCAAGCGGCCTGGAAAACATCAAGTAAAACAAGTTGGAAGAGCTTAGTGAAGTGTTTGAAAATTAAAAGGCTGAAAACAAAACCACCTAGTTTTAAATGTGTAAAAATAAATTGCGTCCATTTGTCAGGGTCTTTCTTTTTTCTTTTTCTTTTTCCTTCCCCCCCCCCCCCAGTCTTAGTTCGTTGGGACATACTGAACCCTCCACAACACGTTGGAAAGTAGGTCTTGGTACACACTAAGGAATAGCCAACCAGGCAAATACATCAAAGTGATGAGGCCCATGAAATTGAGCGGATAGTGAGAATAGTCCCAAGAACAGGCCCCACACATGCGAAGTCCCAGACCCCAGGACAACTCCCAGGCATAGATAAAAATCACATAGATGGGCACCCGCTTCCAGGTGCCCCAGCCACGGCTGTGGTGAAGGTGAAAGTAGAGTTTTTCCACCACAAAACTACAACTGCCATACATGAAGAAGGACCAGAGCGACGTGTGCCCACTGCTGGACCCGTCCCCCTGCCCCAGAACATTGAAGAAGAAGGTGAAGAAGATCTCATCCAAAAAGCCATGCATTCCAAAGAAAAGGAAGCGGAGGAGGTCTGGCAGTCCCTGGCTAGGAGCACCTTCTTCGCCCTGGGGGTCGCAGGGTCCTTGTCGCGGGCCACCAGCCTCCAAAAGGACTCGGGAGTCCGGGGCTGCCGGTAGAGTGTCCCTGGTTTGCTGGTGGCGCTGCCGCGGGTACCGCAAACGGAGGAAGCGCTTCAGGAACACTTGGCCGTGGTAGAGCGCCAGTATGTACTGCAGTGCTAGGTCGAGCGCCCCCGGCGCCACCGCGCTCCCCGACCCGCCACCTAGGCTGAGCAGCAGCGCCTGGCCCGCCAGGGTCTGCAGCCCCACGTGTGCCCAGGGGTATAGCAGGAAATTGAAGAGGAAGGCGCTGGGGCAGCGCGGCCGCTGCAGGTAGAGCTGCTCCAGGGCGAAGTGAGTGAGCGAGTGCAGGAGGCAGCGGTAGGGCGATGAGAAGCCCAGCATCCGCAGATCCAGGCTGCGGGCAAAGCGCCTGGCGGAGGACACCAGCACGTCCAGGGTGATGCCGTGCATCCCGTAGAAGTAGAGGCGCATCCAGGCGGGCAGCGCGCCGCGCTCGGCCGGGGCTTCAGCAGCGGACAGCGGCTCCGGGCAGCTCGCCGCTGCCTGGCTGCGCAGCCCGCCCGGAGCCCCGGGGCTCCGGGTGGCGCCTCCCCTCCGTGTTGGCCCCTCACATGCCACATCGCTGCCCGCCATGGGCTACTCGGGCTCCAGGGGCCGAGCGGCCGAGCCCCTCACCTCCTCCGGGCCGCCGACCGTCCCCCCCCCCCGGGGGGACGCGCGTAGCTCGGTCCGGATCAAGGTCTCCGGGCGCTTGGGGGACGCGCGGGTCGCCTGGGACACTAGGAGTCCCTCTGCCGTGGCCACGCCGCGCCCTCCTCTCCAGTCCAGGGCGAGGTGCTGCCCTCCCGCTCCCGCGATCACCCTGCGCGGCCTAAGGAGTGGCGCGGCCGGGCAAGGGGAGGCGATGCCGGTGCTGCGGGGAAGAGAGCCGAGATTGGTGGTGGCAGCCCCATTCCCTCCACGGCTCAGCCCCGCCGCCTCTGCCGCAGGCTCTGGCAGCGTTACGCGAGCGGAGACGGCCCTTCCCCCGGCCCTTCCCATACCCCTCTCCGCCCGGCTCGACCTCTCCCGCCTTCCAGGGCCCCCGCCCCGCCCAGCCTCCCGTGCCAGGCCTTACAGGGGTCCGTTCCGAAAGGCCATGCTCGCCGCCGGGTCCCCACCGGCCATCTCTGCGCGCCTGGGGCCAGTGCTGCGGGGGCTCCCGCTGGGTTGGTGGCGGGAGTGGAGAACCCCTAACAGGTGTGAAGGCGAACTGTGGGGCATTCCCGGTATCGTGGAAACCAGGGCCAGGCCTTGGCTGGCAGAGACAAATGGCCAGGTGCCACCAGCCGGAGGCCGGGCCCAGGACCAAACCGTGGTGCTGTATATTTAATGTCCTTATGCAAAGTCAGCTGTGTCCCAGTCACAGAGTGTTAACAGGAGACTCCCAGCCTGTGTGCTCAGAGCAGCCTGAATCTGAGTGCTGCCCCCAGGCTGGATCCTCTTTATCTGTCTTTGCGTAAGTTAGTTTACTCAGGTTCAAACCCAGCAGAATTAAAAGAAGGAAAGAAAGGAAGGGAGGGAGGGAGGAAAAAAAAAAAAAAAAAAAAAAAAAAAAAAAAAAAAGATTTAAGGCCAGTCCTGCTGAGTTGTGTCCTGGCTACAGTGGAATAAAGGTCCCCTCAACAGTGTGCATACTGCTACTGGCACAGACCAGGGCTGGGTTTTTCTTCTTGAAGAACTAGGTCATCTCAGAAATACACAGAGAAATAGAGAGCCAAGCATTTTCTTTTTCTGACTTGATTTTTCTGCCCCTCCCTTCCTGCTTATTCCTTCTGACCTGCTACCCTCCCTCACTCCCCCTCCTCGTTTCCTCTCCCTCTTTTCTCCTCCCACTCCATCCCTCTCTGTCTTCTCTCAGGTAGGGCGGGATCTTTGAAATAAATTCAATCATTAATGACCCCCCCTCTCCCAGTTCATGTCTAAACAGAAAGTAGCTAGTAAAGTAATTTTACTCCGTCGGGAGTTGAAGTCTTTCCTGGATAAAAAGCTTTATGGAGCTATTTTGCTTCTGGAGAACACACATCCTCTGGTACATCTTCTGCTTAGGAAGCAACCCAGTCTTTTCCTTTCCCGTTGTTCATTTCAACCATTTAAGCTACTGTCCATGATAGCCATGTTGCCCGTGCGTTCTCTAAGAGAGCAGGATGAGAACAAACATCGATCTAGTGATGACAGTCGCCCCTTGTCCATAGTCAAAGGAAAGCATTTTCTTGCAGCACTGCTAGCAAGTTGTTTCTTCTGCTGACTTTGAAGTTGTCACAGAAGGGACAGACATGCAAGGTTGCAGGCTCAATGCTGCTGTGATACTGGAACAGGACTAGGTACCCAAATTCCTGAACACCCAAGGAAGGGAAGAGGAAAAGTGCACTTTCATCTGGTTGGAATGATAGAAAAACCCTGTCAGGCAGGATGATACATGCAATCCCAGCACCCAGGAAGCTGAAGGAGTTCATGCTAGCTGGGACCACAGTGAGAGCCCCTTAGGGGCGGGAGTAGAGAGGTGGGGAGGAGGGGGAGAAACAGAAACAAAACAAAAGCAAAACACAACGGAAGCAAAACCAACAACAACAAAAGAGAAACAGAAAGACTGCACTGCTGTGAGTCTGTTATACTTCGGGTAAATATTGATGATAAATACTATGATTGCCTAGTACTACATACAAAGGTACACACACACACACACACACACACACACACACACACACACACACATCCACCCATTCAGTTGTGGTAGGTTAGACTTAGACTGTTTTAAAATAGTAAATTAAACTTCAGAGGTATGTCTTCTGTTCTAATATTTCCAAAGAATGCTAAGAAAGCTTGCGAAATATGTAGGGAAGTGTTTTGTCTTACAAAACTGAACTTCTAAGAGTGTGTATCTTTTAGAGACAGGGTCTGACTTTGAACTTGTAATCCTGTGTCAGCCTACTAAATGCTGAGATTACTGACATGTGCCAGCAATCCTCTTTCTAGCATTTTGATTCTACCATTATAAAAAAATCTGTTTTTGTATACAATATGTGTTCAATAAAGTATCAGTATAATAAGGTATATGTAAGCTTTACATGCATACATTTATGTATAGTTTATGCTAATTTTTAATGGAAGGTTGTAGTAAAATTTTCTGAACTCACTATGGTCAAGTGGTGTGGCATTCTGACGAGTGAGAATTCTGAAAATCTCATTACTCTGGGCCTCTCTCTGAAAATTTCCCATTTTTCTTAAAGTGATACAACACACAGTTGAAAGTTTATAAAACCTTTTTGTTGTTGTTGATTCGAGACAGGGTTTCTCTGCGTAGCTTTGGAGCCTGTCCTGCAACTCACGATGTAGACCAGGCTGGTCTCGAACTCACAGAGATCAGCCTGCCTCTGCCTCTTGAGTGCTGGAATTAAAAACATGTGCCAGCACCATCTGGTTTACAAAACCTTTTTGATAACTTAGAATATTAAAGAAAAGTTAAGAAATTAGTTAAAAGTACTAAAACATTAATACTTAATCATAAGTTTTACTTGCTTCAGCATCTGAATATGATATTGAGAAGCTAAAAGCATTAAGATCTGTTAACAAGTGTGAAACATTTCATACTTTAAAAACTTTATATCTAGATATGTTGTCAACACAATGGTAGGGCACTATCATTGCTTAGGACTGAAGTTGCTGTTAATGTTTAGTAATAAAATGAAAAACAGAGAAAATGTCATGTAAGGAAAGCAAAGCATGTTTTATGGAAGTTGTGAATATCAGGATAGATATTTTTTGTTGTGAGAACAAAAATGGGGGTTTTCTCCGAAGTAGACTTAATTACACATTCTCATGTGACTGAGAAGGACATCAATGGATGGTGACTGATGGCTATGAAGCATTGTAATCTGTAGAGAATGTGACTGTAAAAATTGAGTCTTGATAATGGAAGTCAAATGAAAGATAGAGTTTTATCCTGTGTTGAAATGAGACTAACATATTTCTGGAAAATCATTGATTTGGTCTTAATAAAATATTTCTCAGTTCCTTTCATTAAAAAAAAAAATCCACATTTCTGAGTAGTTGGTCTATATAGCTTCTTTCTGTGTTTTATCTATTTTTTTTTTTTGGTGTGTTTATTTTATTCTCTTATCTTAAGCTTTCTTACATAAGAAAACTTACCTCTCATTAAAAGAGAGGGATTCTTTCCCCCATAACTAGATGACTTCTCTGGGCTTTTCCTCTTAAATATTGGGTTTTATTCATAGTTTTATTTCATATTATGTTTACAGACTTGACAGATCTTCTAAGTTGAAATCCTTCTGAACTTTAAGTTTAGAACTTCAGAGAGTCCGAGGAAGTCCAAAAGAGTTATATTATTTATTTTATAAAGAGAAAAGATTACCAAATAAGACATTTTATTGGAATTTTGTCTTTAGTAATTTTCATGAAATTCCTAGAAAGTTGAGGTATCTTGGCATAACATTACTCATCATAATTCTAGTAGTTAAATTATATGTACCATAGGAATAAAAAAAATACTCATTGATCTTTAACTATGGCTGTGTTGTCTTCTCCATAGTTAAATCCTTTATTTTAATGCCTTTCTGGAAGTTTCTGGGAACATTATTATCACAAACCATGGTGTCTTAAAGGAGGTTTATGAAAAGGATTGAAGAACCCTAACAGACGAATATTTCTGGTAACCTAGATTGGCTAAGAATAAAGACTACTGGAAGAATTAACAAGGAAGAAATATGTGTTTCTCTGTGTTATTTGTGGTTGCTGTTGCTTGCCTTTCTTGTGTTCTGTCTCACACCCAGGTCTTTCTTTATGATTAGTGAATGTTCTGTTATTGAGTTAAATGCCTAGCTCCTTTCATAGATTTTTTTTTCCTTACCTGAAATGTTCCTGATGGTTTTAAGGTTTTCTAGGTTGATAGAAACATTTTTAAAAATATTAAACTATCCATAGTTCATTATATTGTAGTTTCAATGAATTTTTTTTTTTTTTTTTTTTAGTTTTTTCAGGGCCACCCATACACTGAACAGGATTCTGAACTCTTCCGGTTCTCTCTAATTCATTCCTTTCATCTTTCATCTCTTCAAGTATGGGTAGGATTAATTGCACTATTTCTGTAGCCACACAGGCCAAAGCTTGTCAACTTCATTTAAATTTCAAGGGACAAATCTCAAGGCAGGTGCATAGGCCCCACAGAGTTCAAGAAAATGATTGGTTCATTAAACAATGCAAAGGTTGTTTGCATTGAAATATGAAAATGAAGCAACTTGCGTCAACCTTCTCAAAGGAATATACAAGCTGCCAAGTGATTGAGAAAGGGCTCACAAAAAGTCTTTTTATTCTATTCTAGAATCACATCTAGAATCACAAAGGCCATTGTAACAGTAACAAATAATACTTATGCAAGTACATCTGCCCAACAACTGTCTGTGTACCTTCAGACTGGTACCACCCTTGCCAAAGATCTTTGTGAAATAGCTCCTGTGATCCTGCCCATTTCTCAATATCTTTGGAAATACTCCCTATTTATTATGAAATGGATAGTCTCATTTTAATAGCATTCTATATACAAATATATTCACTTCAAGAAACATGTCAGTTGTTATTTATATGGACACCA